TACTAGGAACAAGAGGCTACTAGAAGCAAAGGGCATTGCTACTAGGAGCAAGGACGCTACTAGTAACTGCACCAAGGAACCGGTGAAATCAATCGACGCGAATCACCCCCCCACATTTTGGATAGGAGGCACCCGGGCCCCTCACTCAACAACCTCAATGTGGCTTTTCAAGCTCAGCAAAAAGGAGATGAACCACGCCCTGAGAAATACATGCCAAAAACACCGCTGTTTCTCCCTTTGGTGGGGAGAAACAGGTGCACTCGGGGACCGGGCACAGGTTGGTCCAAACCCGGAGACTGAACGGGCATGACCTATCTGGACGACTGTCGGACTCGCGGCCAATGGGAACGACTGGTCGGGCTCCTGGGTTTTGCACGACCCATCCCCATCAACCACCCCAATGTAGGCATATATGGCATACATGGAGTGTCTGGGCATGAAAGAAAACACCAACCTTCCCTCACTCTGAAATCCTCGAAGTGACCGATCGTTGGTGGTGTAGACACTGACGCAACTGCTGCGGACAATGCGTTCCAAGGCTTCGACACCTAGGGCTTCGTTCCATGCGCAGCATGAGCGGCCAGCAAATGGAGAAAAGATGCGAAAAGTACCAACTCGTTTTAAAGACCATGTTACATCCAACTGCCCAGGTTGATGCTGCGGTTAGTCATTGAATAGTCATTGACCTCAAAACTGGAAGATACTATCAAGTGTGATACTACCTTATTTAATCTTCAAAGTACTTATTCCCCTCTCTGGATGCCGGCCACCAAATGTTGGTTGACTGAAATGGGTGGAGCCCTCACATAAACATGGGTCACCTTTTTGGCTTGACACTGACTGGGTTTTCAAGGGAGTTTTCCAGATTGACACAAACACCATCCCTGCACCAGGACTGTGCAGTCTCCACAAGACTCTGTCAAAGTGCATGTTATCCATCCAGTGCCAAGTTGTCTTGCCGAGCTGCCGCAACGAACACCCTTCAATCCGGACTTGACCTGGACACAGGCCAATGCAATGGGCATTGCAAAAAAGAACAACACCCAAGCCAACGAAATAGATCCCATTTGCAAACACATGTCTACATGTCTCCACTGCCGACACTGGCGGACAGATGTACCAGGTATATATCTGTAGTACGTATACACACATAATATATATATATACGTACACTATCATCATTTTAGTGATAGTCAACCGGTCAGCGACAGTTTGGTCAAATCTGGATCGAAATGGCCGTCTGTCTATGTCATATCTGCAGCTTTGGGACATCTGGTGGCGCTGTCATGTGCTTCTTCCATGCTTCCTGCGAGCGTTCGTCCGGTGAATGGGGAACACCTCCAAGCCCAGGCGGCCACACCTCCCCAGGCGGCCAGGGCATTCTCATGGCAAACCCCAGAAAGAGGTGGTTTTCATCTCCTGACTCGATGCAAGTTTGTGGACTGCAGGATTGCACCTGGGGCATACCTGGATCCATAATAAGAACACAACATCTGCATCTATTAATATTGATTAGTATTATATAATGTATACGGCTATCTCATGCTATATCATGCTATATTTACCAGAACCAAAAAAGGTGGGTTGATGGACACACCTAAACCTGCCAAAACTCAAACATGTTCTGGAAAAACATGTGAGGACACCGCTTAGATCACCGCATCACCTACCAAATCGAACCCACCCAATCACCATTTGCGCGCACCGAGCAAGCCTCATAGTCAGTCAAAACCCCGAGCTTCAAGGATGCGATGAAATCAGCTGCGCGGCCACTGTTGTTGCCTCGTGGCGCCAAGACTGGATCCGCTTGCCGCTTGCAGAGGCGCCGAGAAGTTGCTTTACTCGCACAGACGAAAGCGTCCAATTCCCAGTGATCGAATGAGTGTGTGTGTGTTTCTTGGTTGTTTCTTATGGCTGGGTATATAGAACAAGGTCTTGCTCTCGAGCAGTTCTATCTGCGATCTCGAGCCATTCAAGTACCAGCCAATGGCTGCCAGCCATGTCTCTATTCATCCTCCAAGTTGCAAACCACTACAGGGCATCCATTTTGGATCGCCTTGTCCATCAAGGTAAACGAGACTGGGCCACCGTTGACCACGATCATGACCTACCGGAGCAGGCAACGTTCGGAACAGAGCGGCTGCAGACTCGTCTGAAGGATTTGAAATAGGACATGGGACATTCCGTTCGAATGTCTAAGTCAACCGATCAATATTGAAAGTTATAATATTTTATAAAAAACAACAAAGTATAATCAACCCAAATATATCATGCAGTAAATATAATTGATAATATATCATACAGTTTAATCAATCTAAATACAGGTTTTCCGAGTCGAACGGCTGTGGAACCTGACGCCATCGACGAGTTTCCCAGCGCTGAGTCCGAGCAGCTCGCAAGACTCGCTCGTGGTGAGACCCGTTGCTGCTTCTCGTGCTGGTGGTAGGCGTGTCATGCTCAAAGCCTCAGATCCGACCATGTATGCGAACGCGAAAAAAAGGACCGGGGATGCAAACATATGCAAATAAAATTAGCCAAACATCAAGTTTTGGAATGCTTTGTTCTGGGAAGTCTACTGCTGCAAGACTCATCGGTTGGATCTAGTTCAAACCCACAAGAGCTCCTTAATTATGCATCTTTGGCTCCACGTGAAAGAACCTTTCCTGAATGGGGTTGTAGATGTTGTAACGATGGTGACCACTGTAGATGGCCATCACCAAACAAGGCCTCCGCCATGGCCCTCTTCCCCTCCATGGCCATGAAATACGGCCAAGACGGGCGAGTGGGGAAGCACTACAGTAGACTCGTCCCCTGAGATGTCTCACCGAGACTTCTCAAAAGAAATGAGGGGAAGGTTTCACACCAGCATCTGACTCTGCTCTCCAACTGGTTGGCTTCTTAAGGCTTCTCCAAAGTTGCAGGTGGATTGAATCCCGTGGTTTTCTTGGCCACTCCTCTTTGATCATTCAGGCGGCAAAAGCTCCGGCTGCGCTTGCCCCTCATCACTGCTGTGGCCACCTCGGCGGCGGTTCGGCGGTCATTGTTCACCGGTGGCACATGGGAAAAGCATGGTTCCAACTAGGTTTCTGGACACATTGTGTTCTACGACATGTTTCCAAGATAGTTGTCACAAAACACATTGGTTTCTTTCACCACTCGTTTCAACTCTCCATCCTAAGAATCATGGTTTGGTTTGGATAGCCGCTTGGAAGCCTACGAACTCCTTTACATGCTAGAGGTAAAGTCGTCGTAGACTAGCGTGCCCTGGATCTCCATTGGGCCCAGCATGAATAATCTAACAATTACCCTCCCTGAAATCATGAAAGTGGAAAACCACCGGCTTGTAGAGGAAAACAGTCTTCCAAGAGGCCATGTTCCACTTCCATGTTTGTCGGAGGGATAGTAAATATGTTGCTTAGAGTTAGATTCCATCTGTTGCTGCGACCGGGTGTGGTCGACAAACAAATCTTATCAAATCTCTATCACACACGATGAACAATCTTTCAATTTACAGCGTTGTACAACATACTGAGACCAACTGGGGAATAACATTAAAATCCAAAATCAACCGAGTTGTCCTTCTTGGACATTGGACCCAGCCATCTGATTAGAAGTGTTTTTGTTTGCATGTTCCTCTGTTCTAAGATGTTCCTCCTCCAGCTGTTGGGATGATTGGGGTGCCCACGCATTGTTCCTAATCGCCACGGCGACGAGGTGCAGCCCCACGACGGTGCAGCCCCACGACGAAACCGTGTCTCCAAGATGCATATCTCTCGAGAGCCTCGCGCATGTCGACCTGCAGATCTCCAAATGGTCACGCTGAGTGCTACACAGTGGAGCACGCCTTTGTCGTTTTGGTCTCCAGATGGTCACAGAGATGTTGCTACCAGTGTGTATTGTACTCTCGAAACATCGACTCTGTGTAAGTCGACTCCCTGACTGTGTTCTCGACGTTGAGCCTCGTTGAGCCACAGCAAGTCGGCATCCGAGTAGATGGCACCCAACCACTTTATAAATCCAGCACAACCGGAATTCAAGGGTTTTTCAGTTACTCCGTTCATGCCGTCGACGGGAGGCCGAATCGACCGTTCAGACCCTTCAACCCAAGACTTCCACTGAACTACCGGCTTCTGGAACTCGAGTCGCTCATGGACCAACTACTCATGCTGACAAAATAGTTGGGTCCGGGATGGGCCGAATTCTCCTTCAGTTGATGAAACACAACTATGAGAAACCAACCGCTTCACAGGCAGCGATGAAATCCTGGTTTAGGGCTTAGGGTTAGGGCCAGGGGCTGCTACTCAGTTTCTCCCGAGCACTTCTTGGCGCCTGTGGTTTGTCTTTCTTTGAAAGAAAGCTGCTCCCAGATCTGAAATCGCAGCAAGATGTCACAAAACCAGTTTGGTCCGGTTTAAATGGGACCCTCTCCAAACAGGCAAACAAGCACACTTGGAGTCCCTGTTACTATCTCTGACTGCAGTTCCAATGTGCAAGTGGCTTGCAATGGCTTGCAGCTACCTCCTGACCAGGACTACGCACAGCTTTCTCACGACACGGACGACACGGTGCCGAGGTCTTCCGCCCGGAACGCGGGCGCGGGTTACGCCTCGGTGCCGAAGGCATCCTGGCCACGCTTCCCACCGTCCACGAGGACCACGTGCGTGTGATGCTCCTGCGGATCGAGACGAATCGGACGAATGAGACGAATGGCGTGAAGAAGCCCGGTTGAGCAGCAAAGCCACGTGTTTTTTTTCTTTTTCTTTTTCCGTTCTAAATGGTATCCAAATCACCTTGATGTTGGCTGTTGCATGGATCTATCAGTTAAGATATGATATATCATGACATAAACTAGGTTGCTGGTACTTGGTACATTTCCATATGTTTCCAAAGTATACGAGTGTTTGATCCCCAACTAACACTGGTGCAACCGTTTGTGGCTCAAGCATGCTCAAACAAGGGTCTGTCAGCAAAAAGGAGAAAGCAAGGCTCTGCGGCAACACAAACACCAAGGTGTTCAACTCCTCCACAGTTTTGGAGGATTTAACTTGATTTAACTGGTTTGATCAAATCTTGCACCTGCCCCAAAGGTGCTGAACAAAAAAGGATCCTGATCGAACATGAGCGAAGCTTTCGTTCGGGCTCATGAGGCTAGTCCACCTGGCACTCTATCGAGGCCTCTACTCGTTCGCTTCCGTACGTATCAACCTCGAGGCCTCTATGGACCCAACTACTCGTCCCTCGCTGGGTCAGGATCTTTGGGAAGAACGGAGCACCCCGCGGGTACGCGCAACACGAACGGAGCACCCCGAGCAGCGGCGTGACGTCGAAAACGGCCGGAACACGGCTCCTGTAGTCCGGCCAGCCTGGGTCCGGTCCGTTCCGGTCGCCGTCCGAACAGTCGGGTGAACGGAGTGGTCGAGGGCCACGACTAGTCGTGGGGTCAGTCGAACCACCTCGACTGAAGAGACCATCCATGTCGAAGAGATGCCGAAAATTGATGCCCAAGATGTCGAAGATGAAGACTCTGAGGCGTGGTTTTGTAGGCTTTTAGCATTTTCCGATGTTTTTTTCCGAACGGCTCATGGACTCTCAAATCCCATGGGCACCAGCGTGCTATATCGTGCTTGTGGAGTCACGGGGATCATACAAACCACTGAACCACCGGTAAAATTAAAAGAAATTAGGATGTTGGCAAGATGTACAAGCACTCTATATAAGACCTTATTTCCTGCGAACGGATGGAAAGGTGTGCCCTGGCCCCGTTCTAGCCCTTAGTTCAACATGAAGCTCGCGCGCTAAAGCTCCTTTTTACCTGGTTGGGCACTTGAGCCAAAAGTATATGGCATGTACCTGTATAGCAACTATACTGGGACCTCATCCCTATTGACACCCCCCACATCCGTGCTTCGACGGGGAAGGGAGATGAGTGGATGTAAAAACCGGAGAACGAATCATGTTCTCAAAAGTGCATTGGAGGTCAACCAGTATGTCCTATAAAACTGAATTAGCAAACGATCTTGCATTCGCTTGAAAGTTGGATCAAACAGGTAATGGAGCTACAAACGGAAAACGTGCACCTACCTATGGTATCATGCGATTACCAACGGTGTGAAACACAATCCTATCTCACTCCCATGATGCCAAACCGGTCATCATGAATTACCCAAGACCCCTCAGTACATGAAGTACCGGAAGTGGCGTGTCGGTACGACCCCAATGCTCAACCATTCGTGAGTTGTCGCATGTAGTCAGCGCCGACAAAGCCAATGTAGTCCTTGATGAGCTCAACGTTCCTTGGGTTTCCCCTTCGGATCTGCTCCTCAAAGAGCTTCAATTTCTGTGCTTGGATATCGGATACCTCTACGCCATAGTAGCGGCATGCAACGAGGATCTCCTTTGTGACATTCTTCCGCTCCGATTTGATGGCGGGGCTAATGTCGATGAATTTGTATGGAGCGGCACCTTCGTCATCTGGTTTCTGGTAGTAACTATATCGGCTCGCTCCGAAGGTCTTCCTGATCAAGCGTCTGATGAAATTTGAGATGAATGCCAGTTTCTCGATGATCTCTTCCTGGGTCTCAGATCTTCGAGCCTTTGGATCACTCATGTTACGCCGAGTGCTGCCGACCTCTTTGAGGTACTTGTGGCTAAGCCCGCAGCGGATTGCAGTGATCATCATCGGGTGAATAACGTGGGCGTGGAATTCATAGATCTGCCACGCTTCTGTTGCATACGTGTCGTTGGTCCATTTGCTCATGCCTACGACCTCGGCTCTCTGAAGGCGTCTTGGAAACCCAGTATCCGGATCATTCGGTACTAATGGCCATCTATTGTATGGAGTGTCATGCCGCTGTCCATCGTCGAACTTTCGCAGTACGTCTTCACGACTCTCAAAGCAATTGATGTCGAACGTTGCGTTGGCCAAGCTCTTGATCAACTTCATCAACCTCAGATCAAATTGCTGTGTGACTGCAAAGTTGTGGTCGATGGGGATCGCAGCTTCTTGCGGCAATTCGTCAATTGCGAAGGGGAAAGGCTGTGGAAGTTCATTCCCGTATCCATCTTGAGGGACCTCCCGATATTCGGGTTCGCCTTCAGCTTCGTCCGGTCGTTCCTTCAAAATGATAGGAACTTCCTCGTCTTCCTCTCCTTCGGATTCCTCGACGTCAATGACTTCTTCGGCTGTCTTGCGTGCATTCTTGATGACTTCATCGATGTTTGCACCTGCAGCAGAAGTTGCTTCACCGGAAGAACTGGCTGGTACATCTCTCGGAGGTGATCGTTGATTGCGGTCCCTTGTCTCCTTGGGTACCACATGCGTGAGCTTCCCATTCGCGATCAAAACCGCTACGCAGTGCGGACATATCGTCAATCGCACATCGACTTCGCCAAGACAGTTTTAGGACACGGTCTTGAGTCGTAGTCTTTCATTGCTCGGCGGTATACGATCTCCTCAAAGATTTCCTGCCACTCAGTGCTATCATATTCTGGGTAGATACCACTCTCCTCGATCATGCCCAACAGCTTTGAGATTTTGGCGTCGTCCTCGGAGTAGGTATCGTCCTGGACCTCAACCGCTAAACTCTCAAGCTTTTGATAGCGTGGAGTCATGATCGGGTTTCCGTATTTGGACTCCAGAACAAGGTAGCTTCCAGGGTCGGGTTCTCTATTGAGTAACCTGATCCATTCGATCTCCTCAGGCTGTCCGGGTTCTGCATTGTCGCATTGCAACCATGCTCCTTTAACCTCATCGAAGGGAACGACGTCCTCAACCAATAGAGATCCAGTCGCTGAGATGAGAAGCCCGTACTCCTGCAGCTTCCACACCGGAATGTAGAGAACCACTGGGCGATCACTCAATGCGACCTTACGACCCAGCCAAGGTTTTCCCTTGTAGCCCTGCTCCCAGGCCCATGGCGGAAAACATGTGAAGTGGATAGAATCCCTTCCCGATGAACCGAGACCTCCTGGCACTAGCCCCCGTCGCATGATTGAAGTCAGCGCTCCAAGATTGGTAGCGTGAAATGCAGTCACCATGGATAGGGCCATGTCGTTGGTCATTCTCGATCCAATGTGGTCGATGTTGATGGTAACGTCATAACCTCCGCCGTCCGATGAGTGTGCTGAGGTTGCTCTTACGGCCACGGGAAAGCACCATCCGTCGCTATGGTGGAGTCTTCCTTTGGAGATTCCCATGCCCTTGAGTTCGTCAATCCATTCCTTCTCCATCGGGTCATCAGGATCATTGAGTTCATCAGGGTGAACGCGGACCGCCAACATTTGGAATCTGATCCTCTTGGTTATGCGGAAACACTCATAGTTCTGGTCGAGGTACTTTTCCAAACGCGCCTTCTTGGTCACGATGTCTATATTGCCATAGTGATAACCGTCTTCCCAAACTGCGTTATCACCTAACAGGTCTTCCCATGACACCCATGCGCCTTCGTCGCATTTGATTGGTGTGAGTCTTCCTCCTGTCCTGAACTGGCGTCCAATTCGATGCCTCAACTTCGCTCCCAATCGACGACTCAGGGCCTGGCTCGCTTGGCTGTATTCTGGTACTCGACAGTCTGGAGTCGGATACTTGTGGTTGCCGTAGTCGGAGTTCTGTGCAGCGAAAGTGACTCCGTTGATCGGTACTAGCTCAACTTTCCCGACCATTGTCATGGAGTCGATCGGCTTGTATCCCTTCTCCCTCCGTGTCGGTAGGGGATAGAATTGATGGCATGCCTTTGGTTTGAGGGAACTGGAGTGCACAAATGCCTTCTCTACAAATTCGTACACCACCCTCATATCCCTAGGGCCTACTTCCGCAAGCTTCCGCCCATTGTAGGAATGTGTCCCTCCTTCGACTCCATCGGCACTTTCGATCAAGGTGAACCCGTCATGGTCAAACATTGTCACGACTCTTGCTTTCAACATTTCTTTTCGCCTGAACTCGCTGTCGACCTTCCTATCTGGAGTAGGCGATGCTCTCTGCTTCTTCTTCTTGGGCTCCTCGGCTGGATGTCCGGATGGTACATCGTCGGGTGCAACCTCTCCCTTCACTCTCTTTTTCCAATCACTCAGCACTGAGGTGACTGTGGGTGAAGATGAAGGGATCTTCTCGCAATTGAGAGTTGTGTGTCCCGACTTCATGCAGTGGATGCAGAATTCTGCTTGTCCGATCTTCTTCTCGAATTCGTCGATGGCTTGCAGTATTGATGTCTTCGGATCGGACATGTCAACGTCTTGCTCCTCCTTCTCCTGTTCACATTCAGTTTCCATATCGACACCTTCGGCCTCGGGCTGGTCAGTAGCCTCTGCTCCCTGTTCTGGTTCTTTCCCAATTTCGAAGAAGTGGTCGATATCGAATTCAGGAGGCGGCATGGTCCTCATGCGAACGAGAATCAGTGCCACGTTTGCCGCCTCATCAGAGTGCGGGTCCAATGTTCTGATCATCGATCGCTTTCGATTCTCATATGTTGTCCTGTCGTACAGCGATGCGGTGACGCGCTTGATGGATTCTTCTAATCCCGTCCTCAAAGCCTCGATGTCACCCCATCCCAAGAACAGGTGTCTGAAGAGTTGAGCAATTTCCAACATGCCCAGCAGCGCTTCCACCATATCACCTACCCGTTCCTCCGTGGGATCATCTCCGAACATAGTGCGGAATACATCGGGCTCAAATATGGTCTTGAGGTATTTGGTGTAGCACACGTTTCCAAGGTCATAGGATCCCTGGTAGTACTTGGCGCTGCCGACTATCTGCTTTTCCACATGGATGCTGGGTCCTCTCCTCGTTTTGAAGAAGTTCTCCGTCTTTGTTGATGACAACCTGATCCCCCCGAAGAACGAGATCTCCTTCTGGAAACCTGGGTTCCCGTTAAAGATGATCATCGCTTCGTGTAAGAACTTCATCAAGTCTACGTGCGGGTTCATCTCGGAGATCATGACGGTGGGAGAAGATACCGTTTGCCCCATGCCGAAGTTGTGAAGCAATCGAGCACATGCATGAAATCGCTTCTGGACGTAGTCTTCTGCGGACATCCCACGGCATCTATTTGCTGCTCCGTTGATGCATTCTGCATAGCAATCGTCTTTCAAATCGGAGTCTATGGGATTGCAGACCAAACAGTAATCGCAGCAAATCTCCTCACCCTCCTTGAAGTCATCAATGACGTACCACCTTTGAGTCCTCGAGTATATTGGTTCTGGCTGAAGGACTCCCCAGTACTCATCCATCCATGGCATTTTGTTCTCTCTCCTTACCTTCTCCCTCTTCCTCCGCTCAGACTCGTTCTCACCTGAAGCTCCCGCAGTGGACTGATATGCATGGCTTCCTCTTACGGAGTCTCCGAACAAGTACTGATACAGCCTCTCTTTGTCCTGCAACACGTGTTCCAAGTTGAGATCATGGAGGCTATTCGCTTCGGTCAAGGGATCCGGTGCCATGAAGCAAGAAGCGAGCATCTTTTCCCTGAACAAATACTTTTCCATGACAGCGTGGACCAAAGAGGTTCCAGACTTCATAGAGTAGGGGTGACCGCCTCCGGCGACCGAAATGGCTCGCCAGAATCTGTCCGACGTCGTGGACATCATGCCATTCAGCGACAGCTCGTCCTTGATCATGTTGGCGATTTTACCGAACGAACCGACGGCATGG